CTTTGGACTCAGGGCCCTGAGGTCATCCAGGTAGAAAGCCAACCTGATTCCTACCATGCAACAACAGAGCCAAAGTCCCAGCCAGGAACCTGGGCTGGGGCCCAAAAGGCAGATCTCCTGGAAGTAATTTCTGCATATCAGTATCTATATTTACAATGTATTATTGATTGTGCTATAGTGCCATGATAGCTTCAGTTACACGTGCCCCACTGCCACAGCCATTTTAGGCAGATGTGAACTAGGAGACTTTCCGAACCTCCACCCTCCTTCTTTCCCTCCACCCTTACTGTTTACTCACCCTCCACCCCAGTAAACAGTTCCACCCAGGTTATTGACATAGCAAAGCCCTGATCATTGATCATTATTGGGCCATACCATTGAGGACAAATGCCCTTCTACTAATTTTCCTTTCCCCTCCCCTCAGCCTTATTCCCTCTGCCCAGTGAACATCTATACCTGATAGTCTTCTAACATAGCTGCCTCTTGGGCTAGCAGACTCATTGCCCACCACTGTCACAGAGGAGAAAAGAAAGATCCAGTCAGCAAGAAGAGCGGATGCAACAAACACATGCACGCTCTGGCTATCTGTAAATTACTCAGATCTACCAATTATTTCAAGTATCAGAGGGGTAGCCATGATAGTCTGAATCTGCAAAAGCGACGAGGAGTCCTTTAGCACCTTATAGACTAACAGACTTATTGGAGCATAAGATTTTGTGGCAATTTTGTGATGAAGTGGGTCTTTGACCACGAAAGCTTATGCTCCAATAAAACTGTTAGTCTATAAGGTGCCACAGGACTCCTCATCACAATTATTTCAAGACACTAGAGAGAAAAGGATGGATGTTTAAAACATCAGGAATGGGTCAAAGTCATCACTGTAGCTTTAGCCCTACCAGCCTAAAAGGGACTCCTGTGATCCCTTTTCAGGCAGAAACTCCAACAGATTCCCCCCTTCCTGATTTTCTTTCCCACTAGCACTCTCCAAGGCCTATGTCAGGATGCTTTTTTCTCTCACTGAGGGAGGGGTAACTGCAGCATTCTGGAGTTCTGCATCTCTGCTACTCAGGGCTTTTCCCTAGCAATGGTCACTACTATATTGTGCGCCCAACCTCTGATGTCAGGGCAGTTGCTAGATTACAAAGCCAGCCTCAATGTTGACTCCACATGTTAGGTAATCCTGGGGAAAACAAAACTGACCTTGTCCCCTTAGAAAGTAACCACAGCTAGATCCCTTATGTAACATATGCATAGATTCAAGCTGAGCCTATATTAAATTTTAAAAAGTCATGGCAACTAAGGACAGGCCCATCTGCTGAAACGCGTGAGCAATTTATGACGTAACGGTCATGTTCATTCTAGAAAAAAAAACCCAAGCAATCTGAAATCCACGGGAGCCATTAGAGGCAAATGAGTAATTTTCCCAGTCTGTTCATTTTAGTGGCATGACCTCAACTAGCATCTTTTAATGGGGCAGAAGTCGATGTGTCTTACAAAGCCTCCTGGCTTTGCAAAATGTTACTATTCC